ACAGCAGCAGGCCTGACGATCACACGCAGCTCAGATTACACTGATCTTCGTCTTTCATCATCATCACTGGGAGGTAAAAACTACAAACTTTAATTTTAATGTGGTTTTAGTGACCCTGATTTTTTTTTTCTGGTTTTATGTGATCTGTTTATAACATGGAAGAATCAAACCTGCTGTGATACTGTGTTCATTCACCTTTTGTTGATGACTGGCTCAGTGTAACTGCTAAACATCAAACTGTAATACAGTTTGGTTATTCACTAATCTACATTAAAACATTGTGTAGTTTAGTTCCTGTGGTGTTTTATAGATAAAGGTGTGGTCTTAATGAACGTTGGTCCAACAGTGAGATGAACTACAGAATGTAAATGTGTTGGTTTCAGGTTCTTCAGTCTTCCCTGCTCATGTTGTTTTCCGGATTATGGGAATACTGTTCCTCCTGACTGTCTGCTTCTCTGGAGTCTTTATCTGGAGGAGAAAATATAAAAGTGAGAAATTTGAAACACATTTACCTTCAACGTGTTGCCAACATTTTGATGTTTATGCTCTTATAATTTGATATGTTTCACGTCTGTTACTTCCCCTGTGATAAAGTTCATAAAGTGTAAATATTTGATATTCAATCAAATGTTTCATATAAGTAGTGCAAACAGTGCCTTTATTCTTATGTGCTTTTGTATGTTTTGACTAAATAACTGTATTTCTGTCTGTGTTTTCAGAGCTGTACTGACAGTAAGTATTTAATTTATTATATATATATATGTATATATTTTATTAGATTTTCTTAAAAATAATTTTATTTGGTTTTTATATTTCAGATTTAAATGCTTATTTAAAATGTTTGAGACTTAAGATGTTTAAAAGATTTCTCTGTGTGTGACTCAGTGCAGCTTTAGAAAGAAATTTATCGCTCAACCATCTCAGCTTTGCATGAAGTCAGCCTCTCCCAGCTGTCATGACTCAAAGGTACATCCAGGACGAGATGCCAGTCTATCTGAGAAAGAGAGAGACAACCACACAAACTCACACGTGCAGGGAAAACTTAGAATTAAAATGCCCTCCTTTGTCCTCCTGTTTCCCCTCCCTCTCCTCTCCAGTGAGGAGTTAAACAGTCTGAACAGACTCCTCTAGTTGTTTATGACCATGTGCAGAGGATGCCCGGCATTGTCCATAATGTCCAACAGTTTCTTCCAGCTTCATGCCGACCACAGAGCCAGCCTTCCTGATTAGTTTTTCCAGCCTGGACACGTCCTTCGTTTCTGTGCTGCTCCCCCAGCACACCACAGCATAGAAAAGCACTCCAGCAACCACTGACTGGTAAAACATCCTCAGGAGCTTCCAGCAGATGTTGAAGGACCTCAGCCTCCTGAGGAAGTACAGTCTGCTTTGGCCTTTTTTATGGAGGTGCTGCGTGTTGTGTGCGTGTTGCCCGGATTCCTTTTTTTTAGTGCTCTGCACTGCAAGGCCTTTACTGCAGCAGCTTTTAGGTGCTGTTTCTTTATAGGCTTTTCTGTATGAAGTTTAGTCTTCAACAAGTGAAATGCATGCTGAGTTGCGTTAAAATCAGGTGAATGACTCGGCCATTCAAGAATATTCCACTTTGCTTTAAGCCTTGAATGCCATTTGTATCATATTTGATACAAACGTTTCTTAAAGGACAAACGGTACAAACACGTTCTGTAATTGCAAAATGTTATGGACAAAACTCTTTTTTTAACAAAAAGTTGCCAAAAATGCCCAATGTTTCAAATGTGACAACATATGTAATAAACATGATATCTCAAGGAAAGTTTTTGTTTGTTTGCTTTGGCTATATGTTTTCCATCTGTATGATCAAATGCCAGACAATTGGTTAAGCTGGATTTGAGCAGACAGTGAGTCTCTAAACACCTCAGAAATCATTCGGCTGCTTCTGTCCTGCGTCACATCATCAATAAACAGTGTTTACTAGTGCACTGCCATAACTGTATAACTTTCTACAGGACTGAATATAACATCAATATGTAAAAGTACAGAGCCTCTGTGCTTTATCTGAGGACGATGTGTCGTACACAACGCAAAGGTCTCCATCACACTTTTCATAAACTGTTTGGTTTGTCCATCTTGTCAAACCAATATTGAAATAATAATAATAAAAATTCATTTAATTTCATTCATTTATTTATTCATTTCAGGCACAACAAAATACATATATTGAACATAAAGTGCACAAAAC